AGGAAAATACTATATACATATTCATTATATTAATAAATTGTATATTTAATTTGATATTTTAATAGCATCTTAATACATTACGCCATGTTAAGTGTTTATGTTTTTCTACAGGAGGAAAACGCTTAACGAGAGACTTTGTGCATTGCGTTCATATTCTGCTGTTCTGTGGCCACGGATTTGCGGGTCTTGTCTTTTTCTTGCAGGACCCTGTACGTTATAGTAGACTAAATTAGTTTTAATCGTTTAATCACCACCACAGCGTCTTGTCTCCATTGGCAACACGCACGATTTGTGTCGATTGCAAGTGACGTCGTAGGTAGCGGAGAGTGCAAGTGAAGATTGCAAGTGACATTGTAATTTAGTTTCTTTTTTCTTGTCTTCACCACCTGGCTACTGTTGTAAAATGTTGAGAGATTCAAACAAAAAGTAATAAAAAATAGAACAAAATAAAAAATAAAAGACTGCAAGTGACGTCGCTAGCGGAAGCGCAAGTGTCTGAGAGTGCAAGCGTGAGGCTGCAGCCAGACCCTTCTCGACTGAATACCTCTTTCTGGCGAATTCTCTCGTTAGAAACAACAAACTGCAGATGTGTGTATGAATCTGTAAGTAAGATATTCATTTTACGATGTAAACAGTTTAAGTGATTTTAATGGGAGTTTTTGAGAGTGCTTGAACTCTAGACTGTCAGTGAATGTTCTTTGATAATGTAAATGTTCTTTGCTCTCTTTCTGTACAATGGAAGTGTTATGATAAGTAGCCTAACTTACAATGTTTTTATTCACATTAACTTTCAATGTTAAATTCACATTAAATATAAAGTCAGTTGTATTAAAAATATGTTATGGCATGACACCCATATCTGTTACTTAAGCAAGCAGACAGGATTTTATTTATAGTTAATAGACTACATTATTAGGATACTTTGACCCACTGTAGATCAAGTAACATAATCTATAAAGGTGAGAATCGAGATATTTCATGATATAGTTAATGCGTTTGGGAATGTTTCGAATAAAAAGAAGAAAAAAAACACCAGTGCTATTGGCCCCCCCGCCCACACACACACTCGTGCCTCCTCAAAAATAATTTAATAATTAATATGGACCAACTCCATATTAATGTCTAGGTATTAATTAAATAATGTCTATGAATACAATGTCATTAAAGTGCCTGTTGGTGTAATGGTCAGGTGTGCCAATACTTTTGTATGTATGTGATACACAATATAGGTCTGCTGAGTGAACAGTGCATTTGTAATGGAAGAACAAACCGAAAATATGTGAAAAGAAATGTATCCTGGTTAAGTCAGTTATCGTGCATAATACAATTTACTAAGGGTTTTCAAACTGAGGTGTGGGGACCCCCAAGGGGGTGCTATGGAGTCCACAGAAATTTTGAGAGAGAAAATGTCAAATATCAAATTTACCTAACCTAATATTTACTAATTTTAACATTTTGTTTTGGAATAATCTTTGTTGTGAAAAACACTTTACAAGTAAATCTATGGTTCTAAATTTTGTTACCATCTTGCAAAAATATATATTTAAAAAATGTATTATTACCTGGATACACCAAATGTAAAAATTTTTTTGAAAGATTAAAAAAAAAAAGAAAATCATTTGCAAATGCTAGAGAACAAAAAAGAACAAAACAAATGCTTAAAATTCTGGCAGTACCACAAGACACAAAATACACATTTATTCGAGATGCATTCTCTGAAGAAGTACTAATAGCAGGTTCAATTTAATTATTTTTTTTTTTTTTTTACGGGAACAAAAATTCTCATTAAGATTATGTTTTTAGTGCATATGTGCTTGTGAGTTTGGTATGTTACATTAATCATATTTGGCTTTTTCTCCTTCTGGCAACAGGCATCTAGCTTCTGCTGGACGACTACCTCAAGGTGAGTCGCATTAGATTACGTTAAATAATACATAATATTATGTTAAAGATTATCTTGATTATTAATGATCAGTAGTGTAAGACTAAACAGTCTCTCTCATTTGAGACTGCTAATATGTTTTCTAGGCAAAGTACTCCACCCACTGGTACACTTTATTAAGTGCACTCTGGAAAACACTTACAGTATACTTCCATTAACAGTTTCTCAGGATCCACCACTGAGCTAGACCAATCCTCTTACTCCCAGGGAAGCAGGGAAATGTCTAGGATCACAGTTCTGCTGTGTCTCCATTGTGTCTGAAAGCAAAGAACGATGAGGATAAAAACGTCTGATAGATTAGAGCAGAACTGATGCAAATGAAATGGTCAGTTCACGACTCAGACCACTAGGGGTCGATATGCTTTCACATGAAGAAGTTTTCTCTGCTCAGTGGGCTAATGATTAAAATGTGTTCAAAGGGTGATTTAGTGGGCAGTGTTCTTTTTTTTCAGTGGGCAGTGTTCTTTCTGACTGCTTTCTGATCTGACACGTCACATTTAAAAATCTGACACATCAAATTTCCAGCTGAATATCTTTCTCAGAGTTAGTCCACTCATACTGAGGACAGGTTAGTCCTGTTAATCCAGTGTTTTCCATCTACTGCTGGATAGATCTTATTTTACGTAACAGATTCTCGCTCAACCTCTAGGCCCTAGTGTTTCTTTAATCAGCCAGATGTTCTTTCATTAGCTCTCAGTATTAGGACGTTTCCTTGTATCCACATTAAGTAGCTTGTTAATGCCCTTTATACACTACCATTTAAAGGGGTCATATGATGCTATTTTAAAGATCATTATTTTGTGTATTTGGTGTAAAAGAATATGTTGACATGCTTTAATGTTCAAAAAACACATTATTTTTCAAATACTGTACATTATTGTAGGTCCTCTATGCCCCGCCTCTCTCAAACGCTTCATTTTCTACAAAGTCCCTCCTTCCGACAAGCGCAGTCTGCTCTGATTGGCCAGCTGACCCAGTGCATTGTGATTGGCCGAACACCACAAGCACGCGTCGGAAATGTAACGCCCCTTACCATAATCGCGAGCTTCATCTTTCAAAATAAATGTAGACAGAGCCCGAAAGGGGAACAGTCGTTTGACAGACACAGTGATGAAGCTGGTATGTGTTTGCAGTACACAAGCCACGGTTAAGAAGGTTGTGACCCTGTCTCTCTCTCTCTAAAGAGAAAGGAAAACTTGAAATCGCATCATATGACCCCTTTAAAAGTTGGGGCCTGTAAGATTTTTTTAATGTTTTTGAAAGAAATCTCTTACACTCCTGCATTGGCTGCATTATTTCATCCAAATACAGTAAAACTACAATATTATGAAATATGAATACAATTTAAAATAACTTTATTAAATATAGTCATCACATGATCCTTCAGAAATCATTCTAAATATGCTTATCTGGTTCTCAAGAAACATGATCAATGTTGGAAACGGTTGTGCTGCTTAATATAATAAAACCATGTTTTCAGTATTCTTCAAGGACAGTATTCTTTCAGTAAGTTCAAAAGGACAGCATTTATTTGAAATAGGAATCTTTTGTAATATTGTAAATGTCTTTACTGTCACTTTTGGTCGATTTAATGCATCCTTTCTGAATAAAAGTATTAATTTTAATATTGTACATTTTGTTTAAAGAGACGAGTCCCTACCAAATTTAATTTAAAAGAGGAAACAAATGGGTGCAAGTCAACCTATTTGTATTTTTTCTAATCATTATATTACAGAATATTTTTTCACATTTATTTGGTAAAGATCTGTAGTAGTATGTAGACAACACCACAATCACAACATTGAAACTGCTTATTGTGAATACAATTTCTATAAAATAATTTAATCTTTATATTATAATAATAAGATATGGCTATAAAAGCCTTACAAAAGTCCAACAATTCATTGATGAAAAGATGTGGAAACCCTGCACTAAGCTTACACCGGTTTACTTTTTTTTTATATATATATATATGTCTGTCCCCACAGGTTGTCAGATCTTCTCTCTTCACTCCATCAGCTTACTCAGAAAGTACTTGTCAGTCCTAGAGCTGCCGGTCAGCTGGCTCGTCCCCTCTGATTTCTGCTGCCTTATCGGACGGGAGGAGTATAAACGTGCCAAGGTGTGTCATCAGTTGTGTTTAAACAAAGAGCTTAAACTCTGATTATACTTAATGACCCCCCAACACTAGACATACCCTGGATCAGTAATAATCAGAAATGATTGGTTATGACTTCCAAACATTACAAGCGTCTATCATTACAGTCCAGCTGTTTTCAGATGTATTCCCAGACTGGACACTGAATGGCAGAATATGAATACAGAACATTGATAACTTAAGTGCATAACTGAAAAGCTCCTTCACAAAAACAAAGACTATATTGCTGACTAACACATTAGTACTTTGAACCTTTACTGTGTGCACTAACTAATCCTGCTGAGAGGTCTCTGAATGATGCAGTTCCTCTGTCTGACCTGCCGAAGCCTAGACTGGCCCTACCAGTCTGGCTCCTTACAGTAGCATGCAGATTAAAGCATGTTCAGCCCTCTTGTGTGTTCGTTTGTCATCTTGGGTCAGGTCATCTACCGAATTTCATAAGTCATATTCAAATAAGTCATATAAAAGTCTGCTCATTTCTCTCTCCTCTTCCTTCCTCAGAGAGCCATGCTCTGTCATCGTTCTCAGCTGCTGTGGTTCCGCCGGCTCTATATACTTTTCTCACGCTACATGATTGTAAACACATTCCAGGCCATCACCGTGGAAACAAAGAATGTGAAGATTTATTAGATTAGTCTTGGGCACTGTTCCTGTCCATATAGGGCTAAAGTTATGCACTGAAATTAAGTAAAGTTTACTTCATGTTTCTTATTTCCTTATGTAAGTTAATTCCAGATATGCTGTCATTAAAGTACTGTACAGTATATCAATAAGGTTCAGCCAACATATCCAACCTCAAGACACTAATGGAGAACTGCTAGCATAATGAACCTTACAGACTTTATCCCAAACAATCCAATATTCTGAAATCCTGATTTTTGGGGAGGTTTAAGGGAGTTAAGCGCTTTAATGAAGTAGATGAATCCAAAACACAGATTGTGTCTTTGAGTATGCAGGGGATGGAGGACAAAATTTGATTCTGTATATTGTTTACATTTGCTGTTACTGTTGTTATTGGGACTAATTAAAGTAGAGTTGAAGCACTGTTCCAGATGGATCAATAAGTACTGTACCAAATCTTATGGTTCAGTATGGTTTCAAAACTGACATGTATTTCCGATTTCTTTGAGCAAAACTGTAACTCTAGAAGTTCTGTGATGACTTTAAATATATGCCAATGTAGAGGAATGCAATAAATATGTTTAAAATAAATTTGATGAAGAGAAAAAAATATATTTTTATGAATACATTTCTTTCATTCTTTTTTTTGATATTTTAATTTTTTATTAGTTTTCCTTTTACCTGACATCCTCGATACAAACAGATGTTAAAACAATACAAATGGGTATTATATCATTCAACAATCTTCATCAAGTTCTCCCAAACGTCTTTGTTACTATGATTTCCATTCAATTTTGCTAACATTTTTTCACATGATATGCTTTGTTGATACATTACTTGAGGAAACAAGGTAGTCGAGGTAGTACATACAAAAGATACCATCCCCTCTTCATCTTAAAATCCCTACAGTTTTCCCTATCATTTAGGGGGAGATGATGTTTTCATTCTAGACAGTGCAGCTATAAAAAGCTGTTTAAAAAAAAAATGTACCTGTGCTGTGTATACAAGATTATATCCATTTTTGGTCCATTTTCTCAGAAGATACATTTTTACTATAAATGTATACACGTGAGAGTGAATTTTTTCAACAATTAGGAGTACACTAGCATATACAATATGAGGCCTCAAAGATCATAAACAAAAGGCACAAAACCCCAAGGTCAATTCATGTTGTCACTAATATATTGATAAAAAATGCCTTAAGAAGCAGGAGAGTACAATTTAATCTTCGGGCTTAATTGGCCAATGGAAAAAGTGAGTTATGTGTCCGTTGTTGGTTTTGACATACTTCTTATAGTTTGATGCTTCTGCATACTTTCTTCCCAGTTCTGCCCACAGAAATCTTCTACAGTGACACTGCTCACTGTTCCAGGGTCCAAACAATGAGGTGCCACACCTGTAAACACATGGCAGATTTGTAACTTGCAAAAAGACACACAAATAACAGCAAACTTTTTTCTTCAACAAAGAAATGTTCTATAATTTAATATAAAGCAAGGTACTGTGTCTATAAACAATTTCAGTCTTTACATGCAGTAAAAATTGGCTGTAAATATAAAATAAAACATCCCAAAGGTGGTCCACTTTCTGTTCAACTCACCAAACCCATCAGGGTTGGAACGTGGAGTGTAGAAACTCTGGACGCCACACGTTTTGCAGAATGTGTGCTTGGCCATGTGTGTGTTAAATGTGTATGTGGTTATGTTGTCTGCGCCCTATGAAACATATGAAACAAACTGTATGATTTAGGATTATCTGCATTCTGAACAAATGTAGTTTACAGTCTTCATCTACACCAATCATCCAGCCTCTAGATCTCAACCAGATCCCATATACATGTTTTAAAAAAATCACATACCTGCAGCAAGGTGAACTGGGATTTTGGCACAATGAAGTGGCGATTCTGTTTCTTTGTGCAAATACTGCAACTGAGACACAACAGAAAGCCAAACAATCGGTAGGTGGGTTAAATTGTGAAAAGGGGATTTTCATCTCTTATATGAAAACAATGAAAAACTAACACATGCTGTTTTATTACAGTTCTCAAGCTAGCTAGCATCTCTGATGCCCAATTTCACAAATAAAACTGACAATCATATGATAATCATAATGACAATATTTTTCACCAATTAATTTTATATTTTTGCCCTACGTCTGTCTGTAAGGAACTATTTGAAATGGATAACTTTATCATGATTTTGTAAACAACTCATTATTTACAAATGAATATTTGTAGAAATATCAGCATCTTTTTACCTTGTAGTCCTATGACATTGTTGGCAACAACTGATGGCATTAACATTTAAAGACATTCTTTCCCTAACAAAAATGATGTAAGGCTTTAAAATACACCCATTTCTTCGAATGACCCAGATGACACTGCAAGGTTCTGCTAAATGAATCACGGTTGCCTGAATTACTACTCGGTTCAGAAAGCCATCCACGTGATCACACAATCACACGTTTTGACCATTGTACTGTGACTCAATTAATGGCTGACTGTAGATAGTCCTTACTTGCAATTGAACACGTGTAAATGCGGAGCGCTCCACGCATCAAAACGCACCGCGCCACAGTGGCAACCTCCGGTGTGTTTCACAAGACCATCACGCTCCCTGGAAAGAGCAGTTTACATGAGGAGACGATCTGTAGCTACCTCATTGGCTAATGTATTTACCAATGTATGCGATCAATGGACTTTAGTTATTTCATTGTAATTTAAGGGATAATATATAGCCTAATTATTTAAGTGACTGTGTTTTTTTAGTTGGGCACTAACACGTCCACAACACGACGCAGTGAAAAAGAAGGTTACATACAGTATCCTACCTTTCGTCTTTAGTTATGTACGCCATTCGTTTAGCACCTCTTACTTTATATGGTAAACCAGTTGTTTGTCGTCTTCGACCTAACCGGTTTAAACTGCTAAGTAATGCTCTCCTGTAGAACATTCCACACTTTGTTGATAACCATCACTAGTGCTTGCCTACAAAACTGAACAAACACTGTTGACTGGCTGGGTCACATGCTTCAGCACAGCAGCTCATTTTGCCTTCGGCGTCATCTTGCTCCACCCGTTCAGCTGTTGCAATACAAGCCTAGACAAAGTCCAGGAAAATATCAGAGCAGAAAAACTTGTTTTGTTCAAAACAGGCTGAACTGTATTGCATAAATATAAATAAGTGACGTATACATAATACAGATAGCCTATATGAACATAAGTCACGACTTTAATGGGGGCCAGTGTGTTATTAAATAAATAAATAGTAATGATAATAATAAAGCATGGGTTCTTATTGAATTCCAATATAAGACTAAACTGGTTTGTTCTGACAGATGTTTTATATATATTACAGGCTGGAAGATATTGAAAATTTCCAGTGATACACACACACACACACACACTCATGAAAGTTAAAGGGGTCATATGATGCGATTTCTCAACATATTCTGTTACACCAAATACACAAAATAATGATCTTTAAAAAAGCATCATATGACCCCTTTAAAGGTACACAAGCTCTGGATCTGAACAAACACTCTTCTGAGTTCAGTCTGGTGATGTGGCAACTCATGTGACGTGTATCAGCACGGGTCAGGCAATAATAATCAGGAAATTTCTAGTGAATTTCAAGTTATGTATTTCCTGTAGTTTTCTTGGATACCATTTTCTTCAATAGAAAACACATCTTTGCATTTAAGAACACAAAGCAAAAGCAAAAACACTACAAATTATATTTTCACTTTAGAAGAGCAGTGAGGTAAAATAAGAATCTCAAATTGATAATACTAACATAAATGCTGACCAATCCGTGATATTATTAGAGCACTTTCAAGTGCCAAGTCTCATTGGGTTAAGATGGAGACCCAAATGTAACAGCAGACAAGACCTATCTATAAGCCTAAATCACTATCGTGACCTGGTTGTCTTCTTAAACCTTTATCTCGCTGTTAATTTCAATATACATGTATAATCAGGATTGAAATAAGTCTCAATTTAAAATGTCCCCCACCCCTCAGTTTTCAGTAAAACTGGCTTAGTTGGATGATTTAGATCATCTTTTAGCAGCTGTTCAAGCTCACGGAAGAATGAACAGGGACCTGATTCCACAATGATACTAATCCACAAAGTGGATAACTGTCCAGATAAACAAGGCTCAAAGAGCAGTTTCACAATACAATCTCTTTTTGAAGTGCAAGCTAGTTAATGTTTAATCATCTTGGGTAATTATTTTATGGTATTTTATTTAAACAGCACACCCACACTGCAGTAAGTTCTGGTAAAAGAAACTAACTGTTTACACCAGGCGGTAACAGCGATACTTCAGGGCAAATTTAGAGCTGGTTCATCTTGTTTGTAGTTTTGTTCATGCATGCTTGTTTTCTGCCATGACAACACGAAGTCACATTGGAAATAACAGATTTCTGTCCATCACATAGTGTACAGTACTGAAAACAGAAGCCTTGAAAATTATAATAAATTTAGCACTAGACATTTCTGTAATAACAGAGGATAGTGCTGAGACTCCAACAATGTAAAACTGCAACAAAATCCCATCATTTTTATTTGCAAGTCAGGTCCTACTTTGTAGCAGTGGTGAATGGCTGTGGTACTGTCTGCTAGCTCACCCAGAGAAAATGACCTGCATTGCTTCAACAGATACTGCAGGTAGCATGTCCGAGGTCAACGTGTTTCAAAGCAATGCCATCTGTCACACACTGCGTTCTATATTAAGTACGCTGACACAACTCTGTATAAACCCTAGGCTAAAACACAAATAATGTACTTCAAGAAAACACAGCTACGGTGAAGCTGATTTTTGTAAACAAGCCATGTTTTTGAGCACTCTTTTGGGGATAACAGCCTGTCATTTCTGTGCTATAATTAGGTTGTTGTTTGTTTGTTTTTTTACATTCAGAACTGGTCCCAAACACATAACTTTAGCAAGGGATTGCAGTTTGATACAATTATTAGCGATACTGATTTAAGAACATTAAATCTTCCAGACTATTCTATTTGTGTTATAACTGTATGACATAGCCCTGCTCTTTGCCTGGCCCAGATTCTAAAGGTCTGAATCACCAATAGCAAAACGAACAAACAACCCAACCAACCAATCACTGCCTGAAGGGGGGACCACAAGCCAGCCCATTCTAGCATATTCTGGAGACTTCTTTTTTTTGATACTATGTGATAATAATTACACATTTAAAATACATATACAAGAACATGTAATTCCTAAAAACATCATATAAATCTTTAGTTTTAAAGCATATTTGAACGTTTAAAACAAATAGAGGTTTTGACTGCGGAAGGATCTTGTCATGTGACGTACCCTACACGTGACGTCACTCCCCTGGGTTTGTATAAATACAGTCGCATTCACCTTCACCCGCAGATTTTCTACGAAGAAAAGGACGCGTATAATTTCAGAAGCATTTTCAGAGTCCACAAGCTTTTTTTAAAAGGTAAGATTGAACATCCATTTGGTTTGATGATATTCTTCACGGCTTTAAGAATACATTCTTAATGTTTCGCTGTATTGCATTGATTCTCGTCGAACATTTTTATAGATGCCTAATGTTAGACGTGTTAAGCTGTAGTTCACAGTCATAGTGAACCTAGTCATAATCAAAGTAAACCTAGAACATAGTCATAATCAAAGTAAACCTAGAACATAGTCATAATCAAAGTAAACCTAGAACATAGTCATAATCAAAGTAAACCTAGAACATAGTCATAATCAAAGTAAAAAAACCTAACATGGGTTACGTTACAAAATGGATATGTTTGCTCCTTAATTGTGAAGTTCTTGTACTCGTGCTACCGATCGGGTTAAGTTTCGTCGGATGTATTTTTGCTGAATCATAGTAGTCTTTGAACAAAGAGTCCGGATGTTACTGTACCGCCGCCATGTTAGAGGAAGAGTGCTGGGTGTTGCGCAGTACAGTTTTTAAATAAAACAAAACAAATTCAAATGAAACCATTTCGGATAAGGATGCCTTATCACTATTTAATCATGTTACTCTTAATTTAACAAATGCATTTTTTTTTTAAGTGAGGAACAATACAAACATAATGTATCTATTATATTTTTAAGTAAACCATGCTAATAGTGTACTGAAGCGTAAACTGATAAATTTGAGATGTACATGTTGGTCCCTTCCTGAATTCGTGCCATTATTTGTGTTTGACTGCTTTCTGGTTGACTAACACAATTGAGGTGCAGTCAAGTATTTGAAGGGGTGGTTGAATGCGATTTCACTTTTTTTTTTAACATTAGTTTGTGTTAGGGCTGCACGATATTGGAAAAAAACTCGCATTGCGATATTTTATTTTTCTGCGATATATATTGCGATATATATAAACATGACTTGAATAGTTTATTTGGAAAAAAAATGATTGCGGTGATTTTGTAGGTGAGTAAATCAGCATAGGAAATAAATAAGTTACAAGCATAGTTAAATATAGCAGAACAAAGATACAAATTAAATAAGCAGTGCTTTATATTTTTCAGGTAAGTCTAACAGTATTCAGGTACAGAAATTGAATAATCAAATGTAAAATAAAACCGCATAGTCTTCACTGTATAAATTCTAATAAATCGGTGTTAAAGCTACAAAAGTGATTTTTTTTTTTGTTTTGTTTTGTTTGATTTACATTCATAACATAGAAAGCCTCAGGAACATTAAACCGCTGTAAACCAATATAGGCTACTGTTACACACATCCATTTTCTTTCTCAATTATTTCCCTTCACCTACGTCATAAGCAACTGTGTTTACAAGGATACTTGCAGAGCACAGTATTTCAGGCACAAATAGACGCAGAAGTGAACAGAATTCAGTGTTCACGTGCATCTGCGTGGCTGTCACCGTGTCTACACCGGACGCGAGCGACGTGACAAAATAAAACGAACTCATTATCAGTGTTGCTGTCTACACTGGATGCGGCACGGCACGACAAATCCCCGACAGTAAACTGATGCCGCGTTCTCTTTATGATGGCCCCAAAGTCTGTCTACACTGGACGCGACCGTTGTATATATAGTGCTGTCACTGAAACAAGTGTGATTTTCTTTGGAAATTTGTGTGGCGTTTCAAAAAGCTTTCTGAAGCTTAAACCATTAATCTGTGATCTCTTCTTGCATTCTACTATAAATTGAATGTGTACCTATAGTAATTAGTTTATGAATGGTTGATAATCTGATTTTTCTTCATTTGTTTATAGATGCAGATCTTTGTCAAAACCCTCACTGGTAAGACCATCACCCTTGAGGTTGAGCCAAGCGACACAATTGAGAACGTCAAGGCTAAGATCCAGGACAAAGAAGGCATTCCCCCTGACCAGCAGAGGTTGATCTTTGCCGGCAAACAGCTGGAAGATGGCCGCACATTGTCTGACTACAACATCCAGAAAGAGTCCACTTTGCATCTTGTGCTGCGTCTCAGGGGAGGCATGCAGATCTTCGTCAAGACCTTGACAGGCAAGACCATCACCCTTGAGGTTGAGCCAAGTGACACCATTGAGAACGTCAAGGCTAAGATCCAGGATAAAGAAGGTATTCCCCCTGACCAGCAGAGGTTGATCTTTGCCGGCAAACAGCTGGAAGATGGTCGCACATTGTCTGACTACAACATCCAAAAAGAGTCCACCTTGCATCTGGTGTTGCGTCTCAGGGGAGGTTCAGATATTTAAACTGACAATATCAGGGATGGACATTTGATTATTTCAGTATCCCCTGCTCATGCACTCACCACTTTTCTCCCCTCTTCTCTCCATACTTTATTACTGAATCCCATTACATTTTATTGCTAGGTTTTTCCACCTGTTTGTTTTTGTTCAAAATGACAAAATAAAAGCATTGAAATGTAAGATTGTGATTTGTTTCCTTGTCTTTGTGTACAACTACTAATAAAAGATCTGGTAAATAAAATTTTATTAATTTATTCTCAAAAAGAAAACAAAGCTCAGGATTATGCTGTTAGATGCAAATGGGACCATGCAAGTTGTACTGATGTAAAATTTGTAATTAAATTAGAAGTGGCTGTCTCTAAGCCATCAATTTTTGGATCGTAGCACTTAGATACATTTGTTTAAGATGTCTTTTAAAATTTTCAATTTAAAAGCTACATGGTAGCTGCCTAATTTGTTAATACTCCATATTTGGTTGGTAAGAACCTTGGATGAAAATCTATTTCGGTGGAATCTATGATGGCCTGTTCAGGTGCTGCTGCTGTAAGTTTAAAAATGGTAAGATGGTGCCACCAAGTGTCTGTTCTTGTAACTCGAATGAAATTCTAATGAAGCTTTGCATGAGATGTTAAGAGATTATTTGCCTTTGTTGGTCTAGTTGCACTGGTCAGGCTGTACTATTTTTAGTGTTAGTTTATATAGCCTATACATTCGGGAACACCTACATCTGATAAAAAAAATAAAAATCTTAAAACGTGATACAAATAATTATAATAGTTTTAAATTGAAATCTGCCCAGCAATGTTTATAAAATATCTAGAAATAAATCCTAATCCTGTAACGACTGGAAAGGTCTTGGAAATTCACTTATCAAAATGTGCGGCAGCCTGGACATTAGACTACTAGAACTAATATTAACTGACTGCTTATTGTTCATTCATAATCCTTAATACCTACATGATCTAATGTTAATTCACTAATCTTAATTTTAAACGTAAAATGTATTAGTATCAATTGGAATTGACATAAACCTAGTTTAGCACATGATACCTGTATTAACTAATGCTAATAAAGTGGCCCTAATGAGAGTATTGGCTTCACTTCACTTTTATTGTGAAGTGTTCTCACCATTAAAAATGATTCCGCTGAACAAATTACAGCTCTAGTCTCTGGGACGTTGCTTTTGTTTCGTCCTTAAAACAGCGTAACCCCTTATCTACTGCTCGCATCAGCAGTTGAATCAATGAAAGTAATATTGTAAAAATAAATAAATATTTCCGGAACACAAGCAGAAATTTGAGAAATCAAAAGGCAAAAAGTTTTGACAAAACATTTAGGGGGAAGAACCGGCTACATCACCGTCTGCGCAGAGCAGTTGACAGCTGCTTCGAGGCGGTCATTACACAGGAGCATGGCTCGGACCTGGGGTAACTTTTTCTTCTCTCTACTCGATTACAAGACCGAGAAATTTGTCATCGCTAAAAACAAAAAGGTTGGAGTTCTGTTCAGACTCTTTCAGCTGGGGTTGATTGGATATCTGATCGGGTAGGTGCCTTATGCTTTCTCTATAATATCAAGACGTTGAGGTGAACGAGCGGGATCTGTCAGTATTTAGAAGACTGAATCTTCAAAGTAACGTTACATATTATAAAAGGTCGTCAAGTGTTTGTTTATTTAAAAAATGTTACTATGAATTTCAGCAAACCGAATGTAAGCCGCCATGTAAAGCACCATGTCTCGTTTGTTATTTATATCAAGGCAAAGACCGACAGCATTGCAGTGTCCCTGCACTGTTTGACCTGCTGAGGCTCGGTTTAAATTTAGCATGTAGTGAAAAAGACCTTTGTTTTGATTCAGATTAGTAATCTCCATTTAGTCTATATATGTACCAGAACCATACAAAACCTTAATAATTCAGCTTCTTAATTGTTTCACATGCTGTTTGAGGTTCATACACCATGAAACCAAAAGCTGCTGAATGTAAGATGACCTGGATCACATGTGCTGTGGCCAAATGCTACACAAAAAAGCTCCAGCCTGATTTTATAATTGCCATTTAAAGCGGTTTAATACTTGTCCTTTACAAGAAATAACTGTTATAGAACTTAAATGTATCTATAGGTTATAACGTCCTTCAGGGTGTGTTGACCATACTGTATATAGGACATGTGACTTACAGCATTGCTCTCTATATCTCACGCACAGATCCTCTTCTTTATACTCTAAAATAACCAATAAAATGTATTTTTATACTTTTCACATTGTATGTTGTTTCTCACACTGTTTATTTTGCTTGTGCGTCTTCTTAAAGGTGGGTTTTTCTTTGGAAGAAAGGCTATCAGGAGACTGAGGAAGCCATCCAGAGTTCTGTGATCACTAAACTCAAGGGTGTAGATCTCACCAACAGCTCTCATTATGGTCTGCAGTTATGGGGTGCAGAGGACTATGTCATTCCCCCACAAGTAAACTCACGTCTTTCCTGTATATTTGGACACAGTATATTTGAAAACCATCTGTTAACAACCTTTCTCAAAATCTCTGTTTTATTTATTGGATTATGGATATACCTACAGATAATGTCATGATATACACATCTTTTGCTAAGAATTTGAACTCTAATAATTTAATGTGTTAATTATGTTACACAATGGACCATCTGTTTTCAGTTATCATAATATTGGTAGTCCTCTAAATGAACAGCTGTTTTTTGGACATAATTTTGCTCTTACAGTTGGAGATTGATATAGGAATATTTATGTTAAGTTTTTAATAAATAAATATTTATTTATAAACAGTTATTTACACTGTTTATTTCACCATTTATACTTTGGATTAGAATGTATTCTAATCAAACAGAAGCCACACTCAGTGCCCTAATGCTTTCTGCAAAATTGTCTTTGAGCTGTCTAATTTTAATTTTTAAAAGTCTATTTAAAAAAAAAAATTAAGCTTTTAGACTTGGAAGCTCATTATTTTGGCCTTTGGAGGATAAAGATTTTTTTTTTAGATGGATGAAGATTTCTTTCTGCTTTAATTAAATAAAGACTGAAAAGAACCAAATGCTTCTTGGTTCAGGTTTGGTGAAAAAAACTGAAGTGAGAGAGTATGACATTAGACACAATATGTCAGGGTTCTGATCAATTAATTTGCTGTTGAAAATGTATTTCACAAGAATATATCTTTATTTCTTTTGAACAAACAGGGGGAGAGAATCTTCTTTATTGTGACAAATTACGTAGTGACACCCAACCAAAGGCTGGGTTACTGCCCTGAGGTAAGAGACAGGTTGTTGTTATTTTATTTTTATTCCCAACAAAAATTACGCAACCAAAGACATAAGTCATTTGTTGGAAAGAGTAGTACTGTCTCTCAATTAGAGCGCTGTTTTCTCTCTGAACGTCTCTGTACATTTTAACCACTGAGTTTGTTGTACGTGTTTGGTTCTTCTACTTATTTCAGAGTCCTAAAGTACCAGATGGTTTATGTAATTATGACAATGAATGTGTGGAAGGGGAAACTGTCATAGCAGGCCATGGTAAGCACAAAACCTAAATGAAATACCAAGCCTTTTGTTCCCTTATAACTGCACACCTGAAGTTATTTAAAAGGAAAACCTCTGTGAAAGTGCAAGATTCTTATAAAAAAAAAAAAAGTGTTACATTGTGTTAAACTATGACCCACTGGCATGTTTAAATTCCTGAGCCTTAAAGGCACTATACATTTTATTGTTGTTTATTCAGGAGTGAAGGCAGGCCGCTGTATAAACGACACAGGAACGTGTGAGATTCATACCTGGTGCCCTGTTGAGCATGGCCAGACACCATCGTAAGAAAACTGTTTTGTACCAATTCCTTTCAATTCATGTTCAGTTGCAGTACATCCACCTCACTTTATTTACAATATTATTCGCTCTTCATGCCTATATGAAACGATTTGAAGGGGGAAAAAAACATGCTGGTGTTGTACCGTTAATGTTTCAAATGTTGCAACAGGGAGCCCTTGCTGTCAAAGGCAGAAAACTTCACAATCTATGTGAAGAATTTCATCAAGTTTCCAAAATTTGCCTTCTCCAAGTAAGTCAGTGTGTTTATTTTATGTATTGGAGCCTAAGGAACAAATGTTCTCACTTTTCTAAAACTAAAGTATGTTCAGACATATATGTGACCCTGGACCACAAAACCAGTCTTAAGTCGCTGGGGTATATTTGTAGCAATAGCCAAAAATACACTGTATGGGTCAAAATTATAGATTTTTCTTTTATGCCAAAAATCATTAGGGTATTAAGTAAAGATCATGTTCCATGAAGATATTTTGTAAATTTACTACCATAAATATATCAAAACTTAATTTTTGATTAGTAATATGCATTGCTAAGAACTTCATTTGGACAACTTTAAAGGCGATTTTCTCAATATTTAGATTTTTTTGCACCCTCAGATTCCAGATTTTCAAATAGATGCATCTCTACCAAATATAGTCCTATCCTAACAAACCATACATCAATGGAAAGCTTATTTATTCAGCTTTCAGATTATTTATAAATCTCAATTTTGAAAAATTGACACTTAAGACTGGTTTTGTGGTCCAGGGTCACATATGCAATGGGCTGTGACTTGTTTCAAATGCATTTAGTGACCTAATAAGTGATTGAAGCTTGTAATATGTTTATTGTTTATACCCATCTCTTCATGATAGAACTGAACTAACCTGCAGTAGTCTTATTTAAGCTTTTCAACTAGGTTTTCTACAGCTTAATATTTTGCATGTTATTTACTTTGCAAAGCACCAGGGTTTTAGGTGGAGCAACTATAAAATGCATAAAACCTCCTCACCCCCACAGGATGCTGCTGCTAAAACCTTTCCTCATAAAATCTGTAGATCATTTCTAGCAATTCTAGCTTGTGTGATACGGACACCAGCTGACTTTAGTTCCCCCCCCCCGCAACCCCGTCTTTCTTGTTTGGATGTTTTTCATGCTGCATTTGAACTGGTTTGTTTCTGTGTCAGCACAGGATGTTGTGTTGTGATTTCAAACTTCTGAATAATAAAGTTCATAGGCCACTCACAAGTGCATAGACAGGATAATTTCCGTGGCTTAAATACAGTGTCTGGCAAG